TAGGGATAATTTAGATGAATTTCAGACACCAGTATTTAGTCCTAGCATTATAAAGGGTTTCAGAACAACACCTGGGGAACAGAATCAGGTATAACTAACAGTAAAGATGATGGAAACACAAGGGATCCTTTTTTATGACTAAAAAAAAGGCTTTGTGATAGGGAAAATAAGTTAGCTTTGACATCCCATATGAAGAAAATAAGAATTTTGATGACTATTTACCAGACTTAGGACTTGAATCAAGGCATACAAACCAGCCAAAGATGAACAGTTCTCAAGAATCTAAAGTATACATGAAGCCAGCTACTTTTGATGGAACAGGATCTTGGCTAGATTATAAAGATCATTTTGACGCTTGCTGTGAGATTAACAGATGGTCTGAAAAATTAAAAGGTCTTTATTTGGCCGTTTCTTTGCGCGGACAGGCTCAAGTTGTATTTGGAAATCTTGGAACTAAAGATCGAAGCTTTAATGAATTAGTTAAGGCTTAAGAAGAGCGCTTTGCACCTCCAAATAAAACAGAATTATATCGAGTGGTATTAAGAGAGAGAAAACAGAAACCGTCCGAGTCTTTGTCGGAAATGGGCCAGGATATACGAAGGCTGACCAACTTAGCTTATCCATCAGCACCTTCAGATGTGAGGGAAACCTTGGCAAAAGAGCAGTTTATAGATTCTCTCTTCAGTTCAGACATGATACTAAGGATAAAGCAAGCAAGGCCTGTAAACCTCAATGACACGCAGTAGATCTGGAGGTTTTCATAGAGCTGTGAGGCGAGCAACAGATAATAAACATTTTATGCGTCCGGTTAGTCATGCAGAAAATTTAAATGTTAAGTTACAAAATGACGTTGAACAGTTACAGAATTCAGTGTCAGAAATTAAGAAAATTTTACAGGGCAATACTTGGTCAAAGTCTGCAGATTCAAGACAAGGTTAAAGACACAAGAAATAAGAAATTCCGATGGTTCAGGTAAAATGTATACTAATTCAAAATACTCAAGTTCGAGGTATAATAATAATAATAGAGATACATCAAGTTCTAAATGTTATGAATGCGGTGAAAGTGGTCACCTTCGTTATAATTGCCCAAAACTTTATAACCAAGTTTCAAATGCTAAACAAACAAGATACGGCAACCATACTGTAACAAATACTAGTAAATTTGGGTCTGGGTTATTTATAGAAGCTAGAATTAATAATTTTCCAGCAACTTGCTTAGTAGATACCGGGGCTACATTAACAATAGTATCAAAGAAATTCATTGGTAACATTAATTCCCCTATGAAACTAAATTCGTTTACAGCTGATATCGTAACAGCATCAGGACAATTATTAGATATACCAGGAAGCACGAAAATTATATTTGAGATCGGGGTTTATGCATCATTGCTTGATGTTATTGTATCAGAAATAGAAGGGGGCGCAATCTTGGTTCTTGCTTATTTAAAATCGCAAAATGCAAATATCGATCTTACAGAAGGTGTTTTACGTTTAAATTGACAGTCTCATGAATTAAATTGTTCGGGACCGATAGGGTGTTACAGGGATATTGTAAAAGAAAGAACTGAAATTCCCGGAAATTTTGAAAAAGTGATACAGGGTAAAATTAATGATGCATCTAAGCCTACTAGAGGTTTGTACTTTGTGAACAATTGAATCGCCCTGTTCTTGATAACGATGGTTTAGTTGCTCGAACACTTGTGCAAGCAAGTAACAGTATACCAATAAGAGTCATAAACTTGTCAGAAGAAACAAAGGTTTTGCATCCAGGAACTCATGCTGCTATCATGAGTCCTGTTAAAAGTGTGATCGAAGTAAAGGTATCAAATGAAAAGAATGATTTTAATATCCCTTCACAATTACAAGATCTGTATAAACGAGCTACTAAAGATCTCTATAAAAATCAGTGTAAAGATGTTCACAAGTTACTGTGTAAGTATTCTCATATATTCTCTGAGACAGATTCAGATCTAGGACGTACAGGAATAATTCGACACAAAATATCGACAGGGGATGCACATCCAATTAAACAGCCTCTCCAAAGGCTTCCTCATCAAATGAATGAAGAAGTAAATAAACATGTTAATGAAATGTTGGATAAGGGAATTATAGAATCATCCTCAAGTCCTTGGGCTAGTGGTGCTGTATTAGTTCAAAAGAAAGATGGAACGCATAGTTTTTGTATCGATTATAGGAAATTAAACACTGTAACGGTAAAGGATGCCTATCCAATCCCGCGAATAGATGAATCATTAGACCAATTATGTGGCGCAAAATGGTTTTCATGCTTCGATTTAAGCTCAGGTTGAAGTTGAGCCCGAAGATAAAAGCAAAACAGCTTTTATGACCAGGCAAGGGTTGTATAGGAAGAGAACTCTACCAAATCCGGTGATAGCACCAGTCTCTAGAAAGTGTGCGAAACTTGACAATGATATTGGACAAGAAAATAAATTGGACTTGACATTGAAACCTTGTAGTCCAGCTGAAAATCCTCAGGGGATAGATATTTCAGGAAGTACAGGAAGTACTTTTTAATAAATTGTTTGATAGGTATAGAAATCATTATTTGTTTTCAATTAAAAGACAAGGTAGTCTCGAGGAAAATTATATCTTTATATTTAATTCAATTTGGTGATTCATGCACAGTTTTAAAATAATATAAATCATTGGTCTTCAATCAAATAATCATGAGGCAAAGAAGCCAGAGAAAAATTTAGTCATAGCTTGTGTCGGCAAGTTGGATGTGATGGTATATATAGTTCCTGTCAGCAAGTTGGGTAAGACAATATTCATAGCTTGTGTCGGCAAGTAGAATGTGATGGTATACATTGTATATAGCTTATGTCGGCAAGTTGGATATGACAGTTTTCATCGCTTGTTTCGGGAAGTTGGGTGTGGTGGTATATATAGCTTCTGTCAGCAAGTGGGATATGACAGTATTCATAGCTTTTGTCGGCAAGTTGGGTATGACAGTATTCATAGCTTGTGTCGGCAAATTGGATGTGATGGTATATTTAGCTTATGTCGGCAAGTTGGGTATGACTGTATTCATAGCTTGTATCGGCAAGTTGTAAATTACGATAGTTTCTGTCAGCAAGTACGAACAGCTCGTGTCGGCAAGTTGGGTGTAATGGTATATCGAAAACTGAACACAACTCTGTAACTACATTTTCCAAACTTTTACAGGAGAAGAACTTTTGTTTCAAATTAATAAATTTGTTTTTAGTCCAACAATCAACAACATATAAACAGTATTACGGTCTATAAACAAACACTTTTCAGAACCAATCTTTATACCAGATTTATACTGTTTACGTTGTAAGAGATTATTTATGATCTTTTTTTATCATATCATGTTCATACTATTACTCTTACCATTCAATTTATAACTGCCAATTATAAAAATAATCATCCAAGATGTAAAGACACTGTAATTTTATTTTAAAGGCCAAACTAAATCAAAGATTACAGTCTGTGTTTTACATCTAAACAAATTGGTAAATATACTTTATCACTTTGCGACTCTGTAAATATCGTATTGCACGGCCGTGCATATATTTTGACGTGACGACATTAGCGTTATACAAACAAAGTGTAAAGACGCGCTAAATGTTAGCGTTATACTATAGGCGCGTCAATGAAAAATGACTCTAATTTCACTTTAAACGGTCTTTATTTTGGGTATGTGATAAATAGAATATTAAATTCGTGTAAGTTAATTACTGAATTTATTGAACTCGTTGAATAAAATAATATTAGGCTCGCATAATATAATTTTATTCAACTCGTGCTGTAAATTCAGTATTGAACTTACGCTCATTCAATATCCTCTATTTTATAGTCAGATTTGATTGATTTGTTGTCAAAAAAGAATACATTATAACACTAATTTAAATATACGGTCTAACTTCGGTTATATCCGTGTAGTTTACCATAATTAATATGAAATATGTAAATATTGTTTTAAAAAGTCACACTAGCTTAATGTGAATATATAAGTCGTTATCACATCCGGTTAAGTAACTGCCTTATAAACGAGTGGTGTGTGGTCCGAGGATTACTGTTGTCATACTTTTCTTTTCTTTATTTTTGTAGTATTTTGATCGAGAAATCAGGAGAAATTACTTCCTGTTTCGAGTATTCGCCCTTCTTATTGCCCCACCGTGATAAAGATTTGTTTACATATTTTTGATGTACAATGTATGATTTTTAAACGGTTCAAACATGTGAAACATATATCGTTCTTTGTTTCTGTTCATGCAAAGGACTGTAGGAGAAATACGTTCTTATTTAGCTTGTCCATCCCAACCCCCCCCCCTCAATTCTTAGGGTCCAGACCAGAATAAATAATAGTTTTGTATCAAAAATAAAATGACCAAATATATGATTGACACACTCAATCTTATTTAACCTGCATATTAAATTTTTTAAATCAGTTTTTGAGTGTTTTTTTTTTCAAACTAGTCAGTATGTCAAGTGTATATTAGGTTTGACTATTAGATTAACAACATTCCACAAAATAAATCAGACTGCTGAGACATTAACTTTAAAGTCCCAAAACTGTAACTTCCCCCACCTTCCTGTCCCCACCATTCCCAGGAATTTGAAACATTTTTCCATGATTCCCAAACTATGGTGTCGAAGATATACAGTTGTTATGTGCATAATACGGATACCATATGCCATTTTGAAGTTATACATGTACATTATCAAACACATTGCGAATGTTTTGATTACATTAATGAAGAAGGAAAATCTTTATTTTCAAGCATACAATGTATAAAATGTTACGATGGAAAAAATTCCTTTTGTATATGAACTTATGTAATTATTATGCATTGTTAAAGTTAAACATAATGTGACATAACCATTTCTTATTTGCCGTATGCATTTCCTGATTCTCACCATGCAAAATTGATGTTAGTAAACACCTAAACATGTCATATATTATATAGAAGAATTGTCACTGATTAACACTTTTTTCTACTCTATTTTCAGAACTTCAAGGCGACCTGATTAAATTCTACAGAAAAAGGTGTAGTTCAATACCTCTGTCACCGCTTCTTGAAGAAATAGAGACACCTCTAGCTGGGTTCTACGTGATGCCAGATATAGTCACTGTAAAAAAGAAGTCCCTAACTTGTCATGAAGAGGAGAGAACACCGATCAAGTCTTTGAAAGACCTGTTTTCAACCGGAAGTGGAGATCAGCAAGAAATTTATCTATCAGCTGATGCAGGCTTTGGAAAAACTGCTTTCTCAAAATATCTTGCAGTCACGTGGTGTCAAGCTCATTGTCACGATGAAGACTACGCCTGCTTTAAAGATGACGAGTTAAAAACGTTATTTGACTTTAAGTTCTTATTTTTGGTTTTATTAAGAGACTGTACCACTGTTTGCAACATTGACGAAATGATTGAACAGCAACTAACTAAGAAACTGCCTTCTTCTGCATCAATACATGAAGTTTTACGTAGGGAAAAATGCTTGATTATATTGGATGGTCTTGATGAATGGACTCACCCTGATAATAGCTGTAGCGAAGTAACAGAAAACATCCCACATCGGTACGTACGTGATAATTGTGTTATCCTAACTACAACTCGACCGTGGAAGCTCGGAGATGCAAATCTCAAAACAAGTCAAATAAACAAAAAAGTAGAATTGGTTCAATTAAGTGCAGATTCTACGCGGAAACTAGAAGAAAATGCTATAAGAAAAATGACCGGTGTCCGTGACGATAGAGTACTGAAGAGTAAAAGACATGATTTTGATAAAGTGATATGTGACCGTCACCTAGAAAACATACAAGTGACTCCACTGCTCCTCATGTATATAGTTTGCCTATGGTGTAATAACATTCCTATAGGAAATTCAAAACATGAAATTTACACCAATATCGTTGAATTTCTATTATCAAGAACGTCAAAGAAACACCCGGAAGTTCAACCATCTCGTGAATCGTCTGCCAGTGAAATTCCAGAATACTTCAAAAGTCAACAATTTTGTAAAAAGTTTTACAGTCTTATAACATCATTAGCGGAACTAGCTTACAAAACATTATTTAACGAAACAAGAGAAAATACGCTGGTATTTGATAGAACGGTTGCTGATATATATCTCAAAGCAGACGACATGAAATTAAGTTTTTTCTCAGGAATACTGTCAGAAAGTAGAAGTAAAACTTTAATTAAAGAAATTATTAAAGTATCGTTTTCTCACAAAACAGTGCAAGAATTCTTTGCCGCCATTTTTATAAGTTCTCAATGTGATGCTCAGAAAACTGTTGTAGAAAAATGCAGAAATGTTCAAGACATTCTGGACTTGTCAAACATTTGTGAATTTATAAGTGGAATGAATGCTGACCGGATGTGTGCAATATCAAATGATTTGATGTCTGTGATAAATGAAGACAAGATAACACGCGACTATAGAATTAGGACAGGTAAAGAAGACATGTACTTCACTCCATTGTATAATATAGAAAAAATGTTCATGTCCTGTTTACAAGAAATGCCTGACAGTGAATTATATTTACAAGATTTCTTCATTAACCCGTACACCGACCACAGTGAGCAGTTACAACGTTTGTTAAAACAAAATAAAACCAACATAAAATCACTTTATATTAACACCAGAATTACTTCCAGCAGTTTACGTGAACTTATAGATTTATTCTCTCTCACAGATCTCAGTAATATACAGAAACTTTACTATTGTGGTGTCGAGGTGGAGGCTGAGATAAACCGGATATTGTTTCCCAGTTTACAGTACGTTACTTTGTTGTGGGGTACATGGACAAATGATGAAAACAATCTGAGTGAAAATTTAGCGCGAGTACAAAACTTACAATATTTATATATTGACGAGTTCACGTTATCTCACAAAATCCTGGAAACATTTTTCAATTTTATCTCCGGTCAAAAATCAATGAAAGAGTTAAAATTGGAGACGTTAGACTGTAAAGAACATGGCCGCCATGATTGTAAGAGATTGATGAACTTGGACTTGTCTCAACATTCAACTCTATCAATGATAGACTTGTCGGTGTTACCTTGGAGGCTACAATTAAATATAACAACACCGTCTTTAGTTTATGTTAAGTTGGAGGACATCAATCTAGATGAAAGTTCATTGTTACTGTCACGTGACATGTTAAATATTGAACGTGTGGGGTTGAGGGAGATAGAAATGTCTGCAGAAAGTTTACAAAACTTTTTTACCGTGCTGGAAAATCTCCCGCAGTCAGTTACAGTAGTGATGGGCGCCATTACACCGGAAACAGAATATAAACATGTTAGAGAAAATATTCGGAGTTCACAAACTTTTCATGTGATATACGACGGCTGGTGGGAGACAATTGAGTTCAAAACAATAAAACCAAGTAAAGAATAGACACGGAAAAACATTGTAAACTTAACTAAATGAATTATTTCAATGATTTTAATTAATAAAAAAAATAAAATAAATGTGGACACTTAGAAACAAAATGGCGACTCTTCAAACTTTAATTAGGACATTCATGAGAATGTACTTCCGTTTTCAATTAATAATTCAAGTGGCAATTGTTTATAAATAAAAACATTTAATTAGTAGAAATAATTCAAGGAAGTTTTTTACCGAATTCAATGGATATAAAAGATGGATTAGGATATGAAAATATTTAACAGGTGAGTGATTTTATATCACATAAAACTTAAAGAATCATTTCAATTCACAAGGGCCTAAAGCTTAGGTGTTTTGCATGAAACATTGTCTAGTGTTCGTCCAACAAGTTTATACAAATTATAGCTTGGGGCAAAATTTCTCAAGTTTGCTGGGGGGATGTAGATTGTCTTTATACATGTATGTATGTATAGTTAAACCAAAATAGATATTTAATTTTCTAAAATATTAAAGGCTAAAGCTTAGATATTTTGCATGAATTATTGTTTTGTGGACAACTATTAAGTTTGTTCATATTGTAGTCCTGGAGGTCTCAGTTGAACGTACAAGCCCCCAGCAGGGTTTTCATTTTTATCTGAGACAACAGATGATCAAAAGAAAACAACCGATTTTGCCGAGGGTCAAAGGTGATACTTTAATGTAGAGGATGAAAATACAACTGATTTTAACAGAATTTTAAACGATGGTTTGAATTGCCAATCGGTTAATAATGAAAACCCTGCCCCAGGGGTCTTAGATTTTTTATAATACATACGCTAATGCATTTTTATAGTTAAGATTAAAATAATCAACTTCTATGAAAACATCGAGACTAAAGCTTATGAACTGTTGGAATGAACTATTGTCTTGTGAATTCTAGCAAGTTCAAATTAAAGAATCAGGGTCTATATTGGCCCCACCCAAAGAATCATGGATTTTCCTTAAATGTTTATAAACCTTTCCAAACGACCATTGCTATTTTAAAACTTAGCAACCCTTAACTTCTATAGCAACTAATGACATAGATAACAACCATTTACTTTCCATAGCAACCACTGTTTTCAAAAGCAACCGTTAACTTTCTATTGCAACAAGTGACTTTTATAGCAACCATTGACCTTTCATAGCAACCATTGATTTCTATAACAAATTTTGACTTTACTTAGCAACCAGTGATTTCCATAGCAAAAACAAAAGAAAAAGCTGAGCGTTACAGGTCCGGCCTTGCGGTGACTTTTATCTTAAATGTACAATATTTCAGATGCAAATATGAACTGTGTGAAAATTATCAGTTTAAGATTAGAATCAATATCTGCTTTTCATTCATAATTTGTAAAATTAATTGCTACATGTCAGTTTGAGCCTTTATAATCAGGTGAGCGACATAAGGTTCATCATAACCCTCTTGTTCACAAACATTTGACTACATTAGAATAAAACATTGTTCTGCAAAATTTCCCCATTAATAAGATACATGTATGCGTTAATCTTGTGTCATCTTTCTCGTTTCTGCGGCAAGCCTTAAATTATCTTTATGGTTGACAGGTCAATTAAATCCAATAAAAATATTAAAATAAAATATCGAAGACAGCTTTCATGCAAAAGACAATTGCTTTATTCAACCAATTTAATTTATAAATGAACGATTTTTAGGGAAATTGTTGAAAAAATATTTCATTTTACGCCAAGTTTTGTAAACCGAGTTTCAATACCATCTGAGTTTAATACATCTTAAGCATAGTTTGGTACTAGTTATCTTATGAATGGTCTGTGGTTCTACTTGGATATCAGCTTAGGCCAAATAGTTAAATTCACTTAGCTGACAACAGGCCGTGGTTCTACTCAGATGTCAGCTATTATGCACAAATGGCTTACAACAGGCCCGCTGTTTATACTGTGATGTCATCGCATGCCTATTTTTTCATCAGTTGGCCGCCTATACTCGGATATCAGCTTGTGCCTCTTAAACGGATATCAGCTTATGTCAAATAGTTAAATTTATATAACTGGAAAAGGCAGTGGTTCCACTTAGATGTCAGCTCTTGTCTAGATGATAAAATTCAGTTGGCTTACAGAGGTTTGTGGCTCTACTCAGATACCAGCTTATGCTTAAAAAATAAATTCAGCTGGCTTGGGGATAGTGTTATTTTCAATTCAGTTCTCCTTCACGGAATGCCAGAGGTTCACCTCTGAAAAAGTCATCTCATGCCTATATTATTCCATTGAGATGGCTGACTCTACACTGATATTAGCTCATGCCTAAATAATTCAATTCAGTTTGTTAACAGATGGCCCGGTGTTCTACTTGTATTCCAGCTAATATGCTTAAAAAATTCATTTCAGCTGGCCGGGGGAAGATGTATCATTCAATTCAATTTACTTACGAAGGTCTGTGGTTCCACTCACATGTCAGGTCGTGGAGATATAATGATCGTTATAAAGGGCAATTTCAATACATTCTATCCATATTTCTATCACTTTATGGCAACTATTTTTACAAATGAGGGAGACTTAAAGGCGGTTGGACTAGCTGTATTATATATGCTATATAATTTGATTTACAACAAAATGTTGATTTTCTCATTTATTCTTTATACTTTTTTTCAGAAAATCAGCTCGAGTAAATCTACAGTGACAATGATGATTATGCTTCTACTAGAGTCCAATATGAATACTTAACACCTGGTTCCAGGCTTTACAAAAACATATCCAAAAGAAAATTGTTTAAAAACAGTGCATCACCAATACCTTGTACAATCTTTAGTTCCTCGCTGAAACAAAGACAGACCAGCAAACTTTTGCATCGTTTGTACTTGTTTTCTTCAAGGAGAATTTACATCTGTGAAGAAATTGAAGTTCTTACCAAGGCCGCTGTCAAATATTTAAAGGGATATTCAGGAAAAATAATGACAAAAATATTAAAATGATCTTATGTACTGAAAACAGGCTAAAATGACGTTTCTTGAAGTTTCAGCATGAATGTCTGTTTGAATTTTATACATTTTGGGTTTGAAACGTAAATATATCTATATATGTTGAACAAGATTTAGACGCAAATAGAATTACTATTTTTAAACAAGTCAGGTGACTTCAGCCAACCCTTTAAGTTACAATAACAGATATTTTGGATATTGTATGATTGAAACAAGTCTATGTCATTCATTTGAAATGTTCTTTAACGTTTCCAGAGTTCACTTTGACAAATATTGCGAAATCATAGCGCTCTAACCTGACCCACGCGGGTCAAGTTAGGAAACCTTCATTTTATTCTTTATATAGAAAAATGTTTTGTTCCATTGACTGTCTAATATATTCATTTTGAGGGCATTTATAGAATAATGAATGAAAAATTCAAAACTAAGAGATGAAAATTTTGCCTGTGTATCCCTTTAAAAATATCCTTCTGAAAACTTTGTTTGTGAACTACTCACAAACCTTTAGAAAACACAAATGAAACTTGTTAAAAACGCTTGTAATTAAAGTGGATTGGTCTACAATGTGCACATTTTCCATAAGTATTGATAACAATACCACAATTAGACAATAAGAGATGTGGTTTTCGATATACTTTGTAAATGTTGATAGAATTCTAAAATGATTTAGTATGGACACAATATATTAGTAAACATTTTGTTCTAAAACACTTATATACACGTATCCTATATATTAATATGTTTATAACTAACACTTGCCAACAACACCCATATACAATGTTTTGTGTTTTGCTTTAACATATGATTCTAAATACTAACTATAAAATAATTTATGGCATTTAGATCCCTCATTATAAACCAATTCACTATAAAGAAGGTATGATTAAAAATGTTTTTATTTTAATAAGATTAAATTATGTTCCGCTATTTTAGAGTGAAATAGTTAAACATATCACTATTTAATGACTAGCTTTTGAAAAAAAAAACATTTATTGTTTGAACCATAGTAGTTTTGATGAGTATAAGTTTGTTGATTTTTTACTACTTTTTACGCTTACAAAAGGTAAAAGGAAATTTGAAAGTTGCAATATAACTACAGAAAAATTAATTAGAGCAAAAGTTTATATGTTGCATTTTGCTATTGGTTATATCTTAATTTAGACAGGGTCTTTCAAATAGAATGGTCTGGAGTCGGACCAATTTTACTAAAAAAGATGTCTCAGCTGAGTCACATGATTAGGTTATCTACCGACTGTGATCTGGCATTGTACATCATCCTTCAAAATAAAATTATAAGATAAATCGATCAAAAATAACTGAAAACTAATCTTGGCTACATTACATTATCACTGATAATGTAATCATAAATGTAGCCAAGATTATTTTTCAGTTATTTTCAGGTTGTTATTTTTTCAAGTAACAATTTATTATATTTGAAATATAATTAGAAATTCTACAAACCGTGATCTGGCATAGTGCATCAATATTCAAAATTATAATTATAAGATAAATTTATAAAAGATTACTGAAAACTAATTTTGACTACATTACAGTATCAGTTTTTACTTTAAAAGTAAGTTAGTAACAATTCTATAGATTTGCAATGGAGTTTGGAATTTTTTTCATTCCTAGTGTCAAGGTAAAAATCTACTGCTTATATTTGAAAAAGGTCCAAGTTTCAGAAACTTTTTTTAATTATGCATGGCAAAATAGAAATTGATTTTACAAAGAAAAAATGTTATTTAATCGTATCATGTAAAAATTATTTTATAATATTTCACGATTTATTTACAAACATTTGATTTTAAATTTGATGCACTTTCAAAACTGGCGCCGTTTGTTGGCAAATATGCTATGTCTTTCAACAGATAATTCATGGCTTTATGACCTTATTACCTGAAAATATTTATCTTTCTCTACATATTTAAAGATTTTTTAAAGAACATCATATTGTCAGAATTTTCATTTTGCTCCTGTATTTAGGTTTTGCCTTTTCCAGAACACATAATTTCCGTATAGAAAACTTTATTACCCTTCCAGATCTTTTCCCCCCTTTTTGATTGGATATTGATCCGCAGAAAGAAATTGATATTACCAAGCCAGACGGGTAATATACACACTAAAATTCCCCATTGGGTACCCCACGTAGTAAACAACATGCGCTATGGCGATGCGCGTACGGTTCGATTTTAAACGGTGCAAATTCCGATATACAAGCTCTTTTTAACTGTCAAATAAAAATATTTACCGCCTAACGGCTCGGGTGATATAAAATCTAAACAGGTAATATATCCACATATATCACTCCAAAACCAAAATAACATATAATACTGAGTTATACCAAGACATGTTATATTGTGGAGAGAAGGGTTTACATAGCATGTTTCCAGACCATTCTATTCTAAGATAAAAATATATTATTGGTTATGATGACTCAACAAGTTATATGACCTAGATTAAATGGCTATAATTTAATATAACCGATGCTTTCGGGCTATAATAGCGAACAGTTTTTATATAATGAACCGTATTAACTTTCAAAAGTCTTTAAGGAATTTATAAAACTACACAAATGCCTCCTTGGTTTAGAAAATAGGGGTGAAAAAAGTATCTTAATCTTTCAGCAGATTTGTGCTTTAGTGGTGTAAAGCTAATATAAAAAGTCAATGCTGCCAGTATTGTGAGATAAAGTTGTTATCATTTACAATTGACCGTACAACTATAACATTTCTCCATAGTATACTTATGTCCTTGCATGCAAGACAATAAAAAATCTTTATTAGTTCTATTCAGATGTGTCAATAATAGGTTGATCTGTATATTTGTACATAATATATTAATGTATTGCTAATCCATGTTCTAGTTAGATTTGATGTTTTGTTTGCCGCTCAAGTATATACAGATGTACCGGTATATAGTTATCTATAAGTTCTAAATACTATTTTTTGTGTGTTTGAGGTACTGTGTATCTCATTGTTAAACTACTTTGTTTATATGCATGTACATAATTTATATTCAGTGATCAGAAAATGTCATGTATATAACTTACCTATGTATATGTAATAAAGAAAATTACCTACATTCAGGTAACACAATAAAGATACATCCAGAAGGATGGGATATTGTCATGCTACTATGGCGTGAAATATGGCGAATTAGGGTCATCATGGCCTTCTTGTTACTTTAAAAGATGGTTTTTTGTGTGTATACGAGGGGAATTCAGAAAATATCCGGACTTTTGACTCGTTTTCGAGAACCATTCAACATTTAAAAAAAATCTTTCTACTCTTTTTTCAAAATATTCTCCACCTACATCTACGCACTTTTGCCATCTTCGTGGGAGCTTTTGTATTCCCGCTGTGAACCATGACGTAGACCTATCTTTTAGGTACTGTGTAACAGCAGATATATATCAAAGCCGCCCCGGTCTTATATTTCTTTCCAGCAAGCAATTTTTTCAGTTCTGGAAACAAATAAAAGTCACAGGGGGCGAGGTCTGGGCTATAAGGAGGGTGAGACAACAATTGGCATTTGTAAGAGTTGATAACCTCCACTGTAGCTGCCGCGGTATGGGAAGGGGCGTTATCGTGAAGAAGAAGGACATTTTTCTGTGCTAACCTGGACGCATTTGCTTCAGCTTTTCTCTGAGATTTTTCAAAATTACTTCAGAATAGTACTTGGCGGTGACAGTTTGACCTTTTGGCATGAAATGAGTAAGTATCGTTCCTCGTGAATCCCAAAAGGCAACAAGCATGACTTTGCCAGCCGAAGGAGACAGCTTAAAGTTTTTAGGAGGTGCCTTTTGATCTGCGGACAGCTGTCTAGGCACCCACCTGGCACTTACCTTGCTCAAGCCTAGGTGTTTGTGTAAAATTGTGTGTGCCGATGCCTTACCGATGCTAATGTTGTTGGCTACCTCCTCCAAAGTTACACGACGATTTTTGTTGACAAAAGCTTTAACATTTGCTAATATTGTTGGGGTCACCGCCTCAGCTGGCCGCCCAGTCCTAGGCCTGTCACAAACACTTGTTCTGCCTTCACGAAACTGAGAAACCCAGTTGTAGAAGGTTGAACGTGATACACATTTATCAGAAAATCTTTTTTAAGCCTCTGAAAGATGTGGCAGGGCTTTTCACCTTCTGCAACCAGAAACTTTATTACAGAGCGTTGATCCTCTAACAAAGAGTCCATGATATCATATATCAGAGTGCAAAATACTGTGTATACACAACTATCATTGAAAATAAACTGACCACGTTATAGGCGAATGAATGTAGTTTTCACCAATATATAATGTGTGTATATAGCTGCAAGTGGAAAGAGAGGAGCATGATTTCTGACCGTCTCTCGTATGTATATAGTTTCCTTAGTATGATTTTGTATAATTTACAAAGATACTTGTATTGTTGTATTATGTGTACATATTCAATAAAGCGCCCGTTCTCTAAAACACAGTCATATCAGTAATAATACTCTAATACAACAAAGTTATAAAGATTGTAATAATTACTTATACTTGGTTCATTAGGGACGTCATGGCCCTCTTGTTATTTTTATGATTTTTGTATATATGTTTATAGTTTTCTTAGTGGGATTTTGTATAATTTTACTCAGATAAGTATTTTTGTATTTTGTGTATGTATTCACTCTAAAACCACAATCATATCAGAAATTATACTCTCATACTTTGTTTGTTTGTTTTGGGTTTTACGTCACATCGACACAGTATAGGTCATATCGTGACGTTCCAGCTTTACTGGTGGAGGAAGACCTCAGGTGCCCTTCCGTGCATTATTTCAGGCACGAACGGGCTTCTGAGTAGAACCACCGACGTTCCGTAAGCTAGCTGGATAGCTTCCTCACATGAAAGAATCCAAAGTCCCTGTCGGGATTCGAACCCACAGCAGTGAGGGGCAAGTGGTTTGAAGTCAACGACCTTAACCACTCG